AGTATTTATACTAAAAAATACTTTTATGTATAATACATAATAAAGGCCGTTCGCCGGCCTCAAGCGAAGAAGTTCATCGAATTCATTTGTCTAGATCCCAAGAACCTTAACTTTTTTTTGTTAGTTTGTCCGTGTAAGTCATAAAATTTGTTGATTTTGAGCATGTGGTAGTTGTCAATTTTCATCTGGGTGATGCTATTCTTGATTGGTTTTTCATCTGAAAGGGAGGGTTCCGTGATTTGAGTTATTGTGTTTAACAAGTATGTTCTTGGAAAGAATACGTGATTCATGATTCGGTTTTGACTGATTTAATTTTCTACTCCGATGAAATGCCAAAGCCAATGGTTTTGAAAAATATCAAGCCATTTTTTTTGATTCATCTCTCTATTCTGATTTCCTTTGACTTGTTTTGCTTGAAGTCTGGTCTTGTCCTTCTTGCGTTTTTGGTGAAATGACCTCTGGTGGACCTCATTTCCCTTTCCAACTTCTGATGCTCCGAAGAAAGTTGTGACTGGCCATGCTTCATGGGAAATCGTATAGAGTATTGCCCAGGCTGTAAATATCCAAAATTTGCAACTTCCAAACTTCAATATCCATCTGTAGTAATGTGCCCATGGGCGCACACACTCACCCTCACCCTCACCCTCACCCGTACAATTAATCCAATTGGATCTCTTTATTTTGGCTCAAAATTTCACCCTGTTGTGATAGAATGCATCATGTTAAATGATTCTCTGGCAACTTTATGATGGATATCGGAGGTTTGATTTCTAACAATCCAATCATGGTACAACATGTGGCGATGAGTTTTGCAGTGCTATGTTTAGAAAGATCTCAGCTTCTTGCTCACGGTTTTGGTTATTCTTCTTGTTGCAGAAGGGTTCTTGGAAGATGGTGTCAACTCTGGGCTGTCAGAATTTGGGGATTGTCTATGTGAATTTAAACACTTCTCCTTTTTGTATATAAAATAGTTATATAATTTTTTTTTAAGTTAAATTTATAAATCTGGTGGTGAAACAATGAAACACCCATCACTTTCTTCTTTTTTCTTTTTTTTTTTTCTAATAAATCTTACCTTTGAATTACAAAAAAACATTTTAATTATTAAAATGTTAAAATTAATCATAAAAAAATTAAAATACAATTAATGAATTAATGAAAAAAAATTAAAAATATTTTAGTAATTTTACATAAAATTTTAGTATCTAAAATACCATAATAGCCTAATTTTCACTTTTCCTTTACTGTCAATTAATTTGAAATTTTGTTGATTATGTTATATTCATTACACTTGTTCCTTTGGCACCATCAAATGCCGCTCCTCTTCTGTTCAATCCAAGTAATTTTTACCTTGTTGAGGAGTTTTTTTTTTTTTTTGGGTCCGCTGAGAGAGGATAGAGATTGGCATGAGAACGAGAAAGATTCATCCTATCTCTTGGCGAAAATTTTCATTAGGATTCCTGTCTTTTTGTGGTCTGAGGAGACTGGAAAGCTCGCCCAGCCCCACCTCGCTCGGCTGCCATTCCTGCTTTCGCTAAGTGGGCGCGGTTGGCCTTGGCTATCATAGTTTCGGTTAATCAACAAATGGGAACAGTCTTGTTGTCAACCAATTAACTGAACTCCACCAATCAGCGTGATGATTGCGCACGTCGGTGAACTGTTCACCAAATTTAAGAATTGAATTATTAATTATTAATATTTAATAATATTAATTTATTAATCATTATTATTATAAAAAAAATTAATTTAATAATTATTTATTTCGTTAAAAAAAACATAAATTTAACTTTGTATGATACATAAGTAAAATTAGATAAAAAATAAAAAATAATTATTTTTTATTATATAACCAATATAAAAAAAATTAAAATGAGAATAGCCTTATTAATCCATCGCTTGATTCCCTTCTACTCTTTTTTGTTCAAAGTCCCATGTTTATTTGACTGTCAAGTAAGGGAATTATTATGGCGACCATGGAGATCTTCATGCCGCCAA